TTGATCCCAAAAGTTAAAATAGAAATTTTACCACTAAGTAAATAAAACCAAGAAAAAATTCTTAGCGTACATAAAAATTCCCAAAGTGAAAACTATCTAAAAGAAATTCTGAATATAAAAACTGAAAATTTGTTACTTGTCAGGAGTAGGTTTTGCATACCACAAGTATATACATGCATTTTTTTCCCCCCCACAACCTATCAACAGATGGTTAAATTCTCCTCTCCACCCCCAAAGCAGTATATGCTTTCAGGTCAGCCACTGTATTATTTGCCTCACCAATGTCAACGCTTGCTGTTAAGGTATTGAAACAACACATCATCCACAGATCATTCCCCCATTGTTTTTGGGGTTTCTTTTGTGACTGTAACAGTTATTCAATAAGCTCAACCTTAGTGCCAGATTAAAAAAACTTTGTTCAACGTTTATGGCAAAGCAACAGACCAGAAAACTTGAAATACAAGTCCCCTTTAACAAATTTCTTAGAGATCAGGATCTAATACAGATAACCAACTCAGGTAACCATTTTAATGTAAAGGAGAAAATGTTTGGCTGCATGAGTTTTATGGGCCAACACAAAGCGAACAGACTTATTGCAAGAATATAAACATTCATTTACTTGATCATTTATATATATATATATATATATATATATATAATTAATGAGTGGATAGGGAAAAAAACACTAATTATTCAGTTTTGTATAAGAAAATATAGAACATTAGGAATTGTTACAAAGTTTCAAATTAATTACTAATAAGATGAAGATAAATTTAATTCATAACATCATAGTATTGTAATGAGTTCTCAAATGGCATGCAGAGGAAAGGAAAAATCTAAAGCAAATGCCTGCTAATAAGCAACAATAATCAACTTGTTCAAAAACAGAAAAGTAACATGGTCTTCCCCTCCCGTCTATCTTTATTAAATTTTGTTTATATCCTTCTTCCCCACAATTGTTGTTGACAGTTTGTATACTCTGTGCTGATCATATGAGCAATGATATTTCATGCCCCCCCCCCACTCCTTACAAGACAATCTGTCACTTTTACACAAAGATAAATAGGTTGGGAAAGCACTGGTAGTAGAGGTTGCAAATATTATTTAAGTAAACTCAGCCTAGGACTACATAAATAGTTTCTGGTTGGTATAAAAATTATCCACTTTGTCACAAAGTGGGGAAATGTGACAAAACCAAATTTCATGTGAGCAGTGACATAAATTTCCCAGTTTTGTCTTCTGGCATACCACAAGCATCAAGGATGACCAACTCTACCACTAGTGCAATGGTGAAGTGAAAATCATTTCCTCTGCAAGTAGATGACTTAAATGAAAAAGACAAATTCAAGGTGTTGCTATATATATATATATATATATATATATATATATCTCATGGGCATGCTTTCAACACTACATTTCCAAAAATAAGGTGGAACATCTGCCCCAACAAGCATTTGGATGCAAAATTCTGGAGTTGGTCAATCAGATCCATTGAAACTTGATTTTTTTTTTTTTTTTTTAAATTCTAATTTGAAAAGGGAAAAAAGATTTTTTAGTTAGATCATTTTTGTGCTGGCTAACAAAATAGCACAAAAAAATAAATAAAAACAAGAAAAAACCATTTAAAAAAAAAAAAAATTTTAGCTTCACCCATGTAGAAATTTGGGAGCAAAGTATGCACATTGGGTTTTTTTGACAATTCAAAAAACTAAGACATCCGAGTAAAAATTTTAAACTCTAAAGAATTTGTAAGAGGGAACCAAATTTCACTTTAGATTTTAAAGCCAATAAAGTTAGCATAATTAAAATGGAGAGTATATCATGTATTAAGGATGAATTTTGTATTTAGCAGTATCTTTTAATGCAGTATTCTGCATGATACACACATCTTATTGCATCACTCCCCACCATAGCCTATATAATTTTTTTAAAATTTTTTTTACAATCAATAATCTCCTCTCACTAATTTAAGGGAAAAAAAAGGCAATTAGTGACTATTTTCCATCTCAACTGTCAACTGAAAGTCATTTTTGAAAAAAACAACCACAAATAACCATCAACTAGCAAGATGCTGGTTAGCATATGGCTATGTAAAAGCTGCAGAAAAATACTCAAATATTCATGATTTTTTAATCATGAACTTAAAATCATTTAGGTACACATCCCAACCAGTTTGTCATGTTTGCACATGAAGAGAAAGTAACTACAAATTCAAAGACAAATATTTCATAAAATCTATCACTCATACAATATAGGACAATAGAATCCTAGCCAGGTTAGTGACATTCCATTCCCAAACAGGTAACAATCAAATCATTCTTCTTTAATTATGTCCAAATGATTGGTAAAGGACATTCTTAAGGCTTTATCTCATCAACCCAACTGAATAGAATTTACTAGCTTCAATCCCATAAACTATATTAGGCAGCAGAATTCTGTCCACAGTCACATTTTAAAATAAAACTAAGTGTTTGCCTGAGAAAAAGTAAAAATTGCTAATAGAAACATGTCATGATGTGAATGAACGACTTGTCAGCCTAAAAAAAGAAAAAAAAACAACATGATTCATATCCTAAAAAACATTCATATCAAGGGCATTGAGGTTAGGGGATATTACCGATACCCGACTTGACACTCAACAAACTGCATATTGATTGAGCCCAAAACATCGGTCTCCTATCCATAATGCCTGTTCATTGAAGTGCGTCTTATAAACCGGTAAATACGACAATACAACATTTTTATCATATTCCTGTTGTAGAACAGAAATATATCTATTTAGGAAGAAAACAGGTTAAATGTCAAAGTAAGGTTTGACTTCATTTTTCTTTTAGGGATCACTAATAAGAAAACCCTTTGTTTTTTCCAATTGACTAATTTAAGTACTTAAAACAATGGTGAAAGATGAAACAAATTTAAAACTAAACAGAAACTCTTCAGCTAAAACTGAAAATACGAACGACTCGTAAGAAACATTGGTATAATTTTTTCAACGTCTACAGTACACAAGAAATCAATTGCCGATTTCCCTGTTGATGAAAATGTAATTGATCAGCAAAAGATCGAATATTGTTCTATTTAAATGATTTGACCTTAAAACATTTGATAATTCACCATAAACCGATTCATTTGCAGATCAAAGGGCATTTCTTTCTGCAAGAAAAAATAATTTTTACGTTTTCAACCTGAAAAACTACAGTACAATTTATTTCGAAATAAACCATTCAAATTAAATGCGACTCAGATTTTGAAAGATAATCTCTTAAATTAAATATTTTACATTCAAAACTGAAAGCGAAAAAAAAAAAAAATATTGACAAATATCAAGTGAATCGAACGAACTGACAAGTAAAAAGCCAAATATTTGTCAAATAAGGAAATTAAATGTTCAAAAATATCAGTAATGTCATTTGCATTCAGTTTTTTAGATTGTTAACCGAATTTTCAATAAGAGAATCGCTTGCTGACTTGAATCAAGCAAAAAAAAAAAAAAAAAAAAAAAAAAAAAGTAAGTAAAAAAACTAATCAAATTCTGATGGCATATTAAAGAAAAAGTTAAAAATGGACCAGGGTTCGCTTTTGAAGATACGTTTATAAATTTTTTATTCATATGGATTTGTAAACGAGGAAAAATACGAATTGAAATTTAAGTTTTAAATTCGTTGCTATACAAGATTATTTGATTCCCAATTTTTTTTTTTTTATAGAATTGTTTTTTGGTTTGTGACAATTTTGAGAGTAAAACAAGTTTTTAACGTTATTTTAAATAAATAAAATTCTTGACAAATTGCTCACTCCTTAGTCCTTTTTTATTTTAGATAGTGTTTATTGTGGTAACATGAAGAAAAAAAAAAAAAAAAAAAAAAAAACGAACTTTTTTTTTTTTTTTAGCTATACACAAAAACTTAATATTTTTTTTTTGTTTAGTTTTGCAAAAATTAAATTTAATTTACACTTTATTTTTGGAAGCTGTCAAAAAAAAAAAAAAAAAAAAAAAAAAAAAATATAAAAAATAAAAAAAAGTGATTAGAGTCACTTTTCCAAAATCAGGAAAATAAATGTCATTATCGGAGATTGAAATGTGTCAAGCCACGTGACCTTTAGTCACTGAAGAAAATAAAGTTGTTCAAAAATTTTAGTTATTCATACTTTTTAGTAAAAAAAAAAAAAAAAAACCTAAATCATTTTATTTTTTTGAAAACAAAAAAAAAAAAAAAAAACACAAATTTACAATAAATACATACATACATACATACATACATACATTGCAATAAAAAATTCATAATAAAAATCTCTCCACTTTGACAAATTACGGTTTTTTTTTTATATATATATAAAAATAAACAAAAACAGCTAAGAAAGGACAAAAAAAATTAATCTGATAATTTAAAAAAGGACAGGAGTTTGAATGAAGAAAAAAAAAAAAAAAAAAAAAAATTGTGTAGAAATGTCACTTAGGTAAAAATAAAAATACAATAAAATTAAAAATACAAAATTGTACGATTAAAAGGGGAAGAGAGACTAGTGCAAGTATTTTATTTTTATCAAATACTAAAAAGAAATGTCATTTTTTTTTTAAAGAGGAATGTCCATCTGTTTCGATTTAGAGAGTGAAAACGGAGGGATAAAAATAAAATAAAAAGGATTTATTCTTATAACAAGAAAAACAGTCAAGAAAAAGGTTTGAAAATTCAATTGTTGTGTATAATAAAGATAATTAACTCCTGTAAAAACATAAAACCTAACGTTATACATACTTCAGTTAACTTCCCATTATTATTGTGCCTACGTGGAACTGAAGAAAAGGCAGAAGTTAGAAACGAATGTATAAAAAAAAAAAAAAAAAAAAGAACGAATCAGATTTTTCACTGACTATGGTGATACATTACACTTACAGCAAAACAAATGACATAATAGACTAACCAGAAAATGACGTGAACGGTCTGAAAAAAATGATGTTGTACAGCCACACCATTTTAAAACAACTCCAAAACTCTTACCTTGTTAGCGGGGATCGATTTAAGACGTTTAAAGATTGCAGTTATGTCCAACTTGGACGGTTGATCCGCCATCGCTGTACAACCTCTACTGCTGATGTAACAGACTGCCACGTGACCGATGCGGATTAGCCGTGGTTGCTTGCAGTTAAGGCCAAACTGAATTTTGATTGGTTTATAATCGTAGGCCTCTTCATCCGATTGTTGCTGACACTGGTTGAGTTTTTTATATATTATATATATATATATATATATATATATATATATATATATATATATATATATATATATATATATAATATAAATAAATATATATATGTCTAAAACAAAACAGTATTTTTCGTACTGCACAGAAACCACCTTAAGAAAATTAAAATATGAAGGTTAATATTTGTTTTTTGTGTTTAAGTTTTGTTTATGATAAAACATTTTTTTTAGAGTTTGATGAATTTCTGAAATAGTCAGAGAAAAGCAAAGCAACACAACTTCTAAAAAACTAAAAGTAATTTTAAAATTGTCAGCTGTTTTTAAAATAAAAATATTAATGATGTGATTGTTGGGTACAGGGAAATTCACGATTTTCCTGTTAAGAAAAAAACAAAACAAAACAAAAAATGAATTAATAAATAAATTATACTTTTTCTACTATTCAAAATATTTGTAATGGTGAAAGTGTCCGCAACGCAAATGTAAACAAATAAATGTGAGAGATGAAGTTAAACATTTTACTCTAAAAAGGTTGGTTCCGTTTAAAAACAATCAAAATAAATGTTGAAATGGTATTTTTTGAGTAATAAAAAAGGAATCCCAATCTAAACACACTAAGGAGTGGCCAGTATGACAATTAAGAAGGTTATGAACATTTTTTTAAAAGTAGAATGAATTGGTAAAATTTACAAGTTAAGTAAATTTAGTGGATAAAACTAAAAGTATACTCGGAAAAGATACCAATATTTATTTCTTTATTTCCGATTTCTAAATTGTTATTGCAACCATTTTTTAATTTTTTTTACACTATTTTCATGCTTCCAAAAATCTAAAAATAACGTGTAAAGATTTCTAATGTCTTTTTTTATTTAAATTCTAAGTGTTAAGGTTTAATTTTACAAGGAAATACATCAAATAAAAACAATCTAGTGAACATTAAAAAATCAGGCACATTTGAAATAGTTATTTTGATACTTTGACAGGAAAAAAACGAACGCTTTCTAACAATGTTTGAGTGAGTGAGAAGCTCTCAAATTGTACGTTATTATTTTATGTCTTTTCATCCATTTTCAGAGAAAAAAAGTAGCTAACTTATCCGATCATTTTTTTTTTAATGGAAAATGTCAATCCTAGTCACAATGTTTCAAAGCCGTACGTACATGACATGTCAAAGGACCTAAATGTCAGTTATTCACCAAAAAAAAAGGTACAAATGTGCCACGAGGGCTAAAAAGGGGGGTGGGGAAAAGACTGGTCTTCTCTAGTCCTATCTCAAACTAACTAGTCTCATTCTTTGACCCATTCGTACTTACAATAATCCTTTCACCATAACAATGCTTTTACTCCTTGCTGTCACAGCACAATCACCAAAATACCACATTTTCTCTATGAGAAAGCCCTAACATGAAAATTTTATTTACACAATTATCGAGGGATGGGGGACAAAAATCACAAACCCAATGATTAGATACAATGAAAAATGTGTTTATAATAGAAACTTGGGCAAAAATGTCTCATTCGGCAAAGCCACAAAATTCACATAAAATGAAGTAAAATATCAGAGATGTTTAATTAATTTCAAAACTATCACATCTCACATTTGGGGTTTGTCTATCACCTTGATATAAGAATACATACATGGGAATTTATTTCAGGAGAAACTGAGAGAGTTAAGAGAGCACTGGGTGATTTGATATGGAATGACCCATTGGCTTGTATGAATAAAAAAAGAAAAGTAAAGACAATATAAACAGAAGTAACGTCAAAAATCAGACCAAACTCAAAGGGAATTGTTGAGTTTGTATACCATTTAATTTCTTACTTTAGGGAGCAATTTGAATAAATTTTTGATGTTGAAGATATAAAATTTACTTGAAATAAATTCCACTTATAGGAATTAGAAGTCTGGGTAGCTGTATATTTTGAAAGTTTAATTAAATAAATGGTAGTCAAAAATATTTTTTTATCCATCTGAAGCATTTAACAACCTTTTATTTCAATAGTTAAACTGAAAACAAGAGAGAAATAGAAATATCAAATGACAAAAAATAGTAGAGGAACACAAACATAGTTTGAGTCAAATAATAACAACAATAATGTTTAATTATCAGAAATACCACTAGAAGAATTGACAATAAAATGTATTAAAATAATAGGTATTGAAAGGTTAAAATTTACATTATGTATAGCATTTGTCTGATAGTGACAAAATGTTATGGGATAGTAGTACGACAAAGAGATAAACTGATGTTAGCAATAGAGAGGTAAAGAAGGTAACTGAAAAGGAAAATAAGTAATTAAAGTAAATATATTCATTTTTAGATTGATGACAGTAATTTTTTCATTTGGGTGGTTCTTATTCTTGTAATTTCTGAAAATTAAAACAGGCACCCTCTAAAACTGTTCAACATTAATTGAAATGAACCCCCACATCTTTTATCAATCAATTAATATTTAGGGGATGCTCAGTGACCTTGAATTTTCTCCCTCTATTCCTTTGTGAGGATTACCCCCACTTGGCCTGTGAAGATGTCATTAGGTGGAACTGTTTAAAGATTATAAAAGAGAGAACACAAGCCTTCTCTCTTCCCCGCCTCCTTTCAACCTAGCATGCAGTAGGTAGCAACACCAACACTAGAGTTATTTCTATTGGGGATAATACCATTCACCTGGGCAACTGAACTTCTGAACTCTCTCTCTCTCTCTCTCTCTCACACACACACACACACACACACATTGTTTCTTCAAATTGTAATTTTTTTGTGAAAATATATTGTTTTTATTTCAAACAATGAAATGTTTGTTTATTTGTTCATCTCACAGACGTGCTGTCAGTTTCCTTTGTCTTTTCTACAAATACTTTCATGGAAACTGCTCCGATGAGCTATTTTTGCTAGTTCCCAAACAACATGAATTAAAATGTGCTACTAAATTGGTATCTCAGTCCCACCCTTTCACTGTCAAAATGGTTAAATGTAGCCGTCTCTTCTACTCCAATAGCTTTATGTCTTCTACTTCTTGTCTGTGGAATGCCCTTCCTCTTACTTGCTTCCCTGATAATCTCCAACTATTCAAATGCAATGTCAATTAACATCTCCAGATGCCTTGATCTATTCCCTGTTCTTCTCTTCATCCTTTCCTCTTTCATGCATCTTTACTCTTGCTCCAACTTTCTGTAACCCCTTGTGTGCTAGTGACACTCCTGCCTTGCTTGGGGTGAAAAGCTAAAAAATAAAATTTACATGTAAAAATTATGGTTGCCACTGCTTTTAACTGTGTTAGAAGTAACGGCCGCGGCACATTAATTTTTCTAAGTAAAGCTAAAGAATAAATTGATCTTTGATTATCATATCTTTTCATGATATTAGATTATTTTCTTAATTTTTGACATGCTCAACCTAAGCCTATTCTTAATGTGAAAAAGGAATTACCAATATATGATGACTAATGTAAAGAAAAATTTTAACAATTATATTTCATTTCTAAATGAAACTAGTTCATCTTTACTTTTTATTTAAAATGCAAAATTAATATTCAATTTAATTTATAAAGGAAAACTTGAATGATATTTCATTTATTTTGCATAGAGCTTCTGAGATGATAGTGGGATATAGTTTATGATGCTGTGCCCAACCTAGACAATGAACTGAGTTTGTTCTGGTTTAATCTGTAGCCTGACTTATGTATGAGAGACACTCTTCTCTCAGCAGGACCATTGATAATATGCCCACAACCTTCTGGACTTCACAAATATAAAATTCTACATGAAAGCACATAGCAAATATTTGCATTTATGTGTGCAGAGGATGTACAGGTGGTGTAATATAATGGTTGGTGGCTTGAAATGAGAAATTGTTGAGCTGAGTTTGTTACATTCACTTTTGCACAAATACCCTTAGGAAAAGTATGAAGCCATCTCTTCTCCCAGCTAACTGTTAAAAGCAAGGCTTACTGGGCTCTCTCATCAGGGTTGGCAGCCAGTCTAGGAGAAGGACAACTCTGAATTCAAAAGCATATGTAGGTGTAGCACATACTATGCAAAACCTGACAAAATCATGGAGTTCACAATGATGTTATAATTTCTCATTTCAAAAATCCTGACATAGATTATGAGATTTGTTAATATTTAATAAATTGTTTGTTCATTTTTTTCTTAGATTCCTCATTTTCAAATGAGTTGTTAATAATCAATGAATGATTTGGTCTATGCTTATATACAATTGATCTTTTTTATCCATAAGTTTAAGAGCCCAGTCTGCCTTACTATTTAAATCATACCTGATGAAGAAGAGAGGGAGTCATACCTTCCTCAAAAGTATTTGTGCAAAAGTAAATGGAACATACCTTACCATACTTTGAAGGGAAATTGCTGATTTCTCATTGAAAACTGCAAAGTATTACACCACTTGTGTATCAATATATATATGAAAAAATACACCAATCTTCAATGTATATAAAAGCAGTAAGTTGCTGATACCTTTGAAGAGTTGGGATGCTGAAAGTAAGAACCGTTTAACTAACGGTGACAAACTTTTACTCACATTAATCCTGTATGTATATATATATATATATATATATATATATATATATATGTATATATATACACACACACATACCAATTAAAATTTTAAGTTTAAGTTTATTTTCATAAAAGGTTTTTCACATCGAGGAATCAGAGATCGGGTTTTGCTAAGTATATGATTTCCACAGGAAAATATACCATCTACAAAAATATCTGTCAGTGAGTAATTCCCATTTCTCTGTTTATTCCTCGGTCCATTGATGAAGGACATAGGTGTGTCTGAAAATTCTGAACTTTAAACCTTTCTCTCCATGCTTCATTTCTGTCATTAATGATTAATATTTAA